AGAGACAGAGTGGGGAGCAGAACAGGTATATTGACTGAAACACACTGCTGAGGGGAGCAGCAGGGAGACCAGAGAGGGCTGCTATGCCATGGCTATGTGGGTCACTCCCTGAAGGGGGATTGAATTAGTGCTGAGGTGGCTGGTGATAGCTTCATAGTGCTGAGACTTAACCCCCGCGCTGCCAGGGAGGCCCATACAGTATGAACTCTCACCTGGCTTCTTTCACTCAGTATTCTAAGATTTTTTCCATTATTAGTCATTGTTATTACTTAGTAGAATTCTGCTATACCACAGTCTGTTTAACCAGTCACAATCCGTTGATGAATAGTTCCTTGTTCGGGTGTGGTTTTTTTTTTTGTTTGTTGTGTGGTGTGGTGTATTACAATTATGATTGCCATGAATGGTCATCCCAAGTTTCTGTGTGGACGTGTGCTTTCATTCTCTTGAGGAAATGCCCTGCGTGTAGTGGGTCACATGTCGAGGGCACCTTTACCTTTTTCTCTTTAAAGATCCACAGGGCACAGCAGACCTCTCCTGTCTCACTCGCTGCTCCCCTCAGCAGTGTACTTCATCAATCTGCCTGTTCCTGCTCCCCACTGTCTCTGGTGAGTCCTCTCACTGCCCCTGCACCTCTGGCCTGCACCCCATAAATAAATAAATCTTAAAAAGAGACTTTATTTTTTTAGATCAGTTTTAGGCTTACAGAACAGTCGCTTAGAAAGTACAGAGACTCGTGTCCTCCCTGATGGTGCAACAGGCTAAAGTGCAGCACCATGAAGCTATCAGCAGCCGCTGCAGCCCGAGCTCCATCCCAGGCCAGGGCGGGACCCCCAGGGCGCAGCAGCCCTCTCCTGTCCAGTGTGCGGCTCCCCTCAGCAGTGGGTTTCGGTCAATCTGCCTCTTGCGCTCCCTACTCTGTCTTTGGTGAATCCTCTCACCCCCCATAACTCTGGCCTGTACCCTAGTTATTGTATGTATAAATAAGTGAATCTTAAAAAATACATATTTTTTTAAAAAGTAGAGAATTCCTATGAGCCCCCTCTTCTAAGTTTCTCCTGTTGTTAATGTCTTGCTTTAGTGTGGTTTGTTTGTTTGTTACAGTGGCTGGACTGATGTGATCATTGTTAACATCAGTATCACACAGATTCCTACCCTTCTTCCCTCCCTCCTCCTCCAAGCCCTTGGCAACTACAATCATTTACTATCTCTAGTTTTGCCTTTTCTAGAATGTCATATAGTTGCAATCCTACATGTAGCTTTTCCTCCCCCCCTTAAGTTTTATAGAGATATAATTGACTGTGTAGTCAATTATACATGTGCATTTCCTCTGTTTTAGTAGCTCATTTCTCTTTAGTGCTGTTCAGTTTGTTTGTTTTTAAAAAAGATTTATTTATTTATACATGCAGAACTGGGGTAGAGGCCAGAGGTGCGGGGGTAAGAGGATCCACCAGACAGAGTGGGGAGCAGAACAGGCAGACTGACAGCTAACAGAAATGCACTGCTGAGAGGAGCAGCGGGCAAGTCAGGAGAGGTCTGCCGCACCCTGTGGGTCACTCCCCTGGCTGGGATCAAACCCCTGCTCCAGGGGCTGCGATAGCGCCATCATGCTGCTCTTTAACCCATTGCAGCTCCAGGGAGGGCCTACTCCTGCTGTTGAGTTTTAAGAAACTCCAAACTCTTTCATCCCCACCAGCAATGTGAGCGTTCCCTCTGTTTCCTCTGCATTTTTGTCAACACTTGGTATAGTCAGTCTTTTAATTTTAAACCATCCAGTTGGTGTGAATGGTGTTTTTCGTCTGAACTTTCCCCAAAAACCTACTGAACATTCTTTCATGTATTATTTTCCATCCTATAGGTCTTCGTGGATAAAGTGCCTGTTCATCTTTTGCCCATTTTTATTGGGTTATATTTTAAGTTGCAAAAGTTCTTTATTCTAAATAAAAGTTCTTCATCAAACACCATTTTTCCAATTATTTCCCCCTAGTTGGTGGCTTGATTAAAATAATAATAATATAATAGTTTATTTTTACTTCATTTGTGCCTTTTTCCATCTCAGCTGTCATCCCCGTGGGCTTCCCACCACCAGATCACCCTGTGCCATCACCATAGCCAAGTGCACCTTCCTCCCCCCATTATACTCCTGTTGAGTCAACCCATCCGGTATTTTCCCTTTCTTTCTGGCTTATTTCACTAAGCCTGATCTTTTCCAGCTTCATCCATGTTTCTGCAAAAGGCATGTGTTTATTTTTTTGGTTTCCATTGTGTATATGTACTACATCTTTTTAATCCAGTCATCCTTGGTGGCTTGATTTTTAACTTTCATTGCCTTTTGAAGAAACACAAAGGCATTTTATTTTGATGAAATTCAATTTATTGATTTTTTTTGGTCGTGCTTTTAGTGTTGTGTTGAAGTAATCTTTGCCAAACCCCAGCTCTTGTAGAAGTTACATAGTTTCAGGGTTTATATTTAGGTTAAACAACCCAGCTTGAATTCACTTCTGACAGCAAGCGTGCTAAAGCGTTTCCCAGAGCACTCATATCTCTCTTGCTCTGACCACCAGCCTAGTCCGAACCACTGATCTCTCTGACCTGTCTGGGTCCCTCCCCTCCCTCCTCACCCCTGCTTCCTCGCCAGCTGTGCAGCTTCCTTCATTGTACAGATGTGTACAGCCTTTGGCCTCAAGTAGAAAATCCAGTCTCACTGGCCGGTCCCCCAGCTCTACCATAAGACATCCTCTCCCCCAACCCTCAGCTCAGCAGCCGCAGGCATATTTCAGTTCCTCTGTGTGTCAAGGTGATTCCCCTCCATGGCCTCTCTACCGCCCCACCCTAATTCACTTTATCTGACTTAGACCCCTCGAACCCTCGACTACAGAACGTTTCAGCTAGATGCTTCCTGAGCACCAATTCACTAACCACTGAGCCGACATCGTCCTCCGTCGCGGGGCCGAGGCCACGGGTCTTCATTTTTATTTTCTCCATATACTGGTTCTGACTTACCAATACTTAGCCTTGCGGAAGCACTCACACCCAGGCGACATGGCCTGTACCCCAGTTCACACTGATGACGGATCAGGCGTGCGGGGGTGCCTAGGAGATCTGCCAGGGGCCCCTCGCTGTCTTGCCTGAGCCCAGCATGCCCCAAAGCCCGGATCGCCGTCCTCCCGGGCTGCCTCAGCGGGCTGCCAGAGCCTTGTGTGAAGCCAGCCGGCCTCCCGTTCCCACGCAGCAGGGCTATGTGGTATCCAGGCCCAGGCAGAGGTACCTGCGCCGCAGCGGCGAAGGCGGAAGTGGCGCTCTGGGCCAGCCCGCCCAGGCAGTCGGGTGCCCGGGGAGTGTGGGGATCACCACGCTGGCCGTGCCGGAGAGCTGGCATCCCCAGCCCCTTGGGACGGCAGCTCCACCGGGAGGAAGAGAGACGCCGTCACCGCCCGTAGGCAGTAAGGACACCTCCACCTATTTTGTGCCTCCTCGACTCTGATCTCTCCAGGGGCTGCAGACCGGTATGACCCCTGCGTGCTTGGCCTCTCCCTCGCATGCTCCTACCTGCTGCCCAGCGGATGGGGACGGGCCGTCTCCCCGACACCGCTCGTGCCTCGGCGTCAGCACCTGCGAGCGGCGGGGAAGGTGCCAGGGCCAGCGCGGGAGGGATTTCTTTCCTTCCTGTCTTTGATCGCTGCCGACCTGCAGCGTCACTGGCCAAGTCTGCACCTGAGCTGGGCCTTGATGGATGCACAGCTGCACCCGCCACCAAGATGGGAGGTAATGAAGGCGGTGTCGGCCGTCCCAAGGGCCGGGTGCCAGCTCTGCGGCAGTCACAGGCGGGGGTTGGTGTGGCAGGCTGACGGAGCCATCGGACCTGTGAGCCCTGCGGTGAGTCCTGCCGGCTCGGCTCAGCCCGCGGAGAGCGCCGATCGGCTCATGCGTGTGTCAGAAGCTCGGGTCCCAAGACTGTGGCTTGCACACGCCTCCTCGCAGGGTTTTCCAAGGTCCACCTGATGGATGGGGACAGCTTACTGTCTTGGTGCATAGCATTGAACGTGTTGGGTCTCTTGAGTAAGAATGGGGCAAATACAGCCTCCTCGGAAGCCATCACACCAGAACCTAACACAGATGGGTCACAGCGCCCAGCTCCGGTGGACTTGGGGGCTGCACACTGCTCTAGGGGTTCCTGTCTTGTGCCCTGGTGAACACAGTGTCCTCTACATATAGCAGGTGGTCAGTGCCCATGTGACAATCACTACAGTAGGAGTGACAGATGTGCGAAGCTGATTCTGGGGCTGTGGGACATGTGTGCTGAGTGAAAGTACTTTGAGGGGAGGGGTGGCCTTGGTTACCTTTCCAGAGCTATCTCCTGTCACTGTCCCTCCCCGTGTCCAGTCCCAGGGAATACTTGCAGAGTCCCTCTGGCGTGGGTGCCCCTGCCTCAGGACCTTTGCACATGCTGTTATTCTGCTCAGAACATCCCCCCAGGCCCTCATTATCTATGTATCTACTTGTCCATTAGGACTCAACTTCCTTAATCCCCAAAAACTGGGTCAAGGGAGCCTCTCCCCCAGCAAGGGCTGGGCGGGGACTCATGCTGGGTCTCTAGTGTGCAAAGGCTGCCAGGGGGCTTAGTCACAACCAGGCATACAATGCTTATTGGTGAAGCGCAGAGAGCCGAGGAGCTGGCTCCAGCCCTGACTCAGCAGAACTCTCGCACTCTGCCTACGGTTCTGTGTCAAGGGGAAGTAAGTGCGATCAGATTAGATCAGTGACTCGCTTTTCGGTCTTAGGGCCCTAAAACTCCTAGGAAAAGTAAGTTTCCCCAGCACTAACAAACGTTGTGTATTCATGATCAGAGGCCAGACACCTGGGGCTCCCGAGGTCAGTGAAAACCCCTGAACTGGGACCTGCCTCCCGACTTCTGGCAGCTGGAGAGGCGGTCTCCAGTCCGGCGTCAGCCTCCGCCGCCCCCTCCTGGGTGACGCGGTGTGCGGGCGCTCCCAGGCGGTGGGCAGGGGCTGAGGACAGTGGGCAAGGATGTCCACCTCTCGCACTTTGCCCATGCCAGAAGCTCCGTGAAACGAGAGAAAGCTGGGCTCCCACCGTGGCTCCTCGCCACCCGGTTCGCTGCGCTGAGCCGACACCAAGGCCGGAGGGCCGAGTACTCACCCAAGGTCACGCCGCGAGTCCGGGCCGCTGGGCCGGTGGCTCGGACGCATGATGCCACTGGGCGGGTGGAGGCGCCGGAGCCGGTGCCCCAAGGCGCTGGGCGGGGGCGAGCGGGGAGCGGGCCGGGCCGGGGAGCCCGGCTGCGGCGCGAACCCGGAGGGGTGGGGCTGCCGTTTGCCCAGCGTCCGGCAGGGGTCCGCTCGCTGCCAGCCGGGCGCCTCTTTCCAGCAGCTGCTGCAGCCCGAGGTAATCTCGGCCCCGCTCTGGGGTGGCGCAGGTGGGGGGCGGGGGTTGGGGGACAGCTGCGGGCGCGCGGAGGTGGGGCGCGGGCCAGGGTGCCCCAGGCGGCGGCTGCCCGAGCCCGGGGAGTGTCCTGCGGGGGTGCCGCGTGGGGTGGGGCCGCCCGGCCCTGCAATTCGAGCTGCCGCCTCCGGTTAAAAATACCCCCGGCCCGCCGCTCCCAGCCCCTCCCCCGCGTGCCCTTCCGTCCGGCCGGTGCCCGCCCCCCTCGGCCCCCGCCGGCCCCTCCCGGGACAAACCTGCTTTTTGCAGTTCGTCTCCCCGCGGAGCTGGCCGCGGGCCTGCGGAGGGGGGCCGGGAGCCGCCAGTGAGGGAGACAGATAGTCAGAGGGAGCCCGGGAGATAAGGGAGAGCAGAAAGGAAGCCGTGGGGAGCCCAGGGAGGAGGAGGAGGAGGAGGAGGAGGACCGGGGAGGAGCGCGGGGAGGAGGGCGGGGAGGGGCCGCTTCCTGGTTGGGCCCAGCCCTGCGCTGCCACCCGGGAAGCCCGCGGTGGGACTGCAGCGATCCCCCACCCGCGCTCCTCCTAGGTAAGGAGGGGGGTCTCTGGGCCCGGACTTGTCCGACCCGGCCAGCACGCCCAGGCCGAGCGGCCGCCCCACCCTGGCCCCCGGGCGCTGGGGCGGGGAGGCAGGGAAGCCGCACTGCCCAGCCGGCTAGCCCTGGTCTTTGCTCACCCGGGCTGGGCTGAGGGGGAAGGGACGAGGGCCCCTCGGCTCTCAACTCCAGACCTGGGTGTGCTGGGTGGGGAGTAGGGAAAAGCCCAACTTCCCAGTGTTCTCAGCCTCCAGTCAGGGCCAGGGGCCAGGGCCAGAGGAGCGCAGAGACATGACTAGTTGGGGAGGGTCACAGACGTGCAAATGGTAGGGGAGGCCTTCCCTGGGGTCTGTCACCTCACCCTCTACCTCTGGCCCCGCCCTGCCCCACCTTGCCTAAGGCTGACCCCAGGATTGCTGAGCCCAGGACAATGGGCGTCTGGGAAAGGAGAGAGGGTAGCATTGTGTGGGACAAGAAGCTGGAGGCCAGCACTTGTGAGGGCCCGGGGAGCCCCTCTTCTGGATTCTGGGAGCTTAGGGAGGCACCCAGAGCCCTGAGTTCTGTGAGGGAACCTGTGGGTGGAAACCCCAGACTGGGGAGGGAGGGTGGGCAGTGGGAGCCCCACTTCTGGGCCGGCAGGCTGGGGTTCTGAGCAGGTGCGTCTGTCTGCAGGATGGCCGAGGAGATCATCGCTCCCGTGTACTGCACCGGCGTGTCTGCCCAAGTGCAGAAGCAGCGGGCCAAGGATCTGGGCCTGGGCCGCCACGAAAACGCCATCAAGTACCTGGGCCAAGATTATGATCAGCTGCGGGCTCAGTGCCTGCAGAGTGGGGCCCTGTTCCGTGATGAGGCCTTCCCCCCAATAACCCAGAGCTTGGGCTTCAAGGAGCTGGGCCCCAACTCCTCTAAAACCTACGGCATCAAGTGGAAGCGCCCTACGGTGAGAGAGGGACAGAGTTCCCCATCAGAACCTTGTGTTGAGGAGTGCGAATAGGACTTGCGGTGTCCCTAGCTGGGAGTGGGATCTGGGTGGCTGGGTGCCAGTTTCTGGGAGGCACAGCCCGAGGACAGGGCTCTGGGTCTCTTGCAGGAGCTGCTATCAAACCCCCAGTTCATTGTGGATGGAGCCACCCGCACAGACATCTGCCAGGGAGCACTGGGTAGGCCTCGGGCTGGGGTGGAGGGGGGTGTAGGGAGCACTGGGTAAGCCTAGGGGTTCCAGGTGTATTTTCCACAATAGTTCCCGGTGCCCGTTCCTTTTGGCTCCGCTCCAACCCCTCCCTCTTGCAAGCCCAAGCAGGCTCTGGCTATCACTGCTGGGGCTGGTTTGCCCAGATTCCTGGATCTTTTCTAAGTCCGAGGGGCACCCCACCCTGGGAAGCTGTCCCCAGGCTGGGCAGTCCTGTGCAGTGTGCACCGCTGGCGCAGGTTGGCAAAGCCGGCCTGATCGGGGTCCTGCCTCTCCCAGGGGACTGCTGGCTTCTTGCTGCCATTGCCTCCCTCACCCTCAACGATACCCTTTTGCACCGTGTGGTGCCACACGGTCAGAGCTTCCAGAATGGCTACGCTGGCATTTTCCATTTCCAGGTGAGGACCTGGGGGCAGAGGGTGGGCAGATGGCCAGAGGGCAAGAGCAGGCTCTGGAGGAGAGGGGCCCAGGCAGCACCGTCTGCAGGGTGGCTGGGGCCGCACCCTGCAGGAAGCAGCTCTGCCTTTCCAGAGAACTGCCCTCTCCCTGCCCCTCGGACCTGTCATGTGTGACACAGTCAGGCAGGTATTCGGCAGGCAGTTTTCCTGGGTGCTTGTGTGGGGGGGAAAGTGCTTGGGAGGGTGAAAGACCTGTCAGTTATATCCTCTGGGACAAATTATTTTCTTCCCCGGAGTCTCGGTTTCCCTACCTGAAAAATGAAGACTATGCGGCTGAGGAACACAGCGGCAAGCTAGGTCCCTTCCCCATGGCATCCGTGTCCCTGCCCACCCGCCCAGAAGTCACTCCGCTCCTCGGAGCCTCGACTCAGACGCAGCCTTGCAGAAAAGACTTGTACCCGCTTCTCCTGAGGGTGTTGGCCAACGCGCTGTTCTTTCAAGTCACTCTGATGACTTCTCATGTAGTGTTGGGAGACCCCACCCCCAGCCCCCAGCAACTCTGGTTAAGACGCTCTGGTGCTCCGAGGCTCCAGCCCGCCTTTTCCACCTAGCAGGGCGCCCCTGCGCCTCCCAGCCCCCTCGCCTGCCCCAGAGGACCCTCTGTTCTCAGCCCCCAGAGCCGCAGCTGCCCCTCGCCCGCCTGCAGGGGTGTGGCCTCGCCGCTCACCCCACCCCTTTCCCTCACTCCTCCAGCCCGCTCCTCTCTGTCCTGGGATTGGCTCGCTCAACCCTCTCTGAACCCCACTTTCCTGTTATTCTGCACACCCACCTCCCACATTGTTCGGTTAATTCTAGCCCCGATGCCTGATTCCTGTCGCCCTGGGAAACCTGCTGCTTAGGGTGTATCTGAAGCAAACCCCGAGGTTGCGGGGTCCCCACCCATCTTGTGGCTGAAGGATTTGGATGCCACATGTTTCCTCCACACCCAGTTTTCCTATGTCCCCCCACACCACTCCCCTGCATACACACACCCTGACTTAGAATGAGGAGGGCAGCGGTGGGGGCAGGGCCTGCATGGGGGCTGCTGGGGGACCCAGGCCTCGGGCGCACCCCGAGAGGCACCGGGCTCTGCTTCCAAAGCATCAGTACTGCTGCCCTGAAGACTTCACTGTCTTGCTCTCGTTAGTGTTCCAGTGAGGAGGGCGCTGCTGCTCCTCTAGTGGGGAACCGAGGCCCAGGGAGGACAAGAGCCAGGGCTCGTGGGCCCTGGCTTCATCCCCCAGCAGGCGCCCAGCATGGGGCCCAGCTGAGGCTTGGGCTGAGACTGGGGGGCCCAGCGGTTCTCACTGTGCTCCCGCTCCCCAGCTGTGGCAGTTTGGGGAGTGGGTGGACGTGGTGGTGGACGACCTGCTGCCCACCAAGGACGGGAAGCTGGTGTTCGTGCACTCCGCCCAGGGCAACGAGTTCTGGAGCGCCCTGCTGGAGAAGGCCTATGCCAAGTGAGTGCGCTGGCCAGCCTGGGGGCAGGGCGGGGGGCCGCTTGCTGGCGCTGACCGAGGCCTCCGCAGGGTGAACGGCAGCTACGAGGCCCTGTCGGGGGGCAGCACCTCCGAGGGCTTTGAGGACTTCACGGGCGGCGTCACCGAGTGGTATGAGCTGCGCAAGGCGCCCAGCGACCTCTTCCAGATCATCCTGAAGGCCCTGGAGCGAGGCTCCCTGCTGGGCTGCTCCATCGATGTGAGTGCGCCCAGCCCCCAGATCGGCACCCCAAACCTCCCTGCCCGACCGGGCCCCGCCTCCAGCCCACACTTGGGTCCAGACCCTCTGGCGCCTCGCACTGGCTCTGAGCCCGCACCCCGCCTGGTCCATCACTCGGTGCCCGCCCGCCCGCCCTCCCGTCACCCCTGATGCAGAACCTCGGCGGGGCGCCTGCTTTCTCTGCCCTCCACCTCCACCTCGTCGCTGTCATCCTTGTCCAGCTGAATCTGGGCCACCAGCTCAGGCCTCAGAGCCCCCCACCGCGCCCTCCCTCCCTTCACCCCTGAGGCCCGCCCCAGCCATGCTCAGCCCTGCTCTCGGGCCCACCACCTGTGCCGCAGCGGTCAGCTTCTCCCAGGCCCAGGAGACTCCGGCCTGTCTGTACCCCTCTTCTCTGCCTCGCCGTGTCCCTCCGCTGGAGACCCTCTGCGTGCCCGTGGGTGGGGGTGCCTTTCACTGCTTGCACGCACGTGTGCACACGTTCAAGGTCTGGCCAGCTCTGACCAAAAGTGAGGTGCCCGGGCCCCCCACCAGTGGTAGTATTGGTGGGGTGCCTCTGTGACCCCCTTCTAAGGCCAGAACTTCTGTGTGGGGGTGCCAGACTTGATGGGGTCGGGGTCCAGGCCTGCAAGTGGGACTGCCCCGCCCCCCGAGTGCTGGGGCTCCCGATGGGTGGGCAGGTGGACACGTCCCCGGGAACCTGGTCCTTGACCCGGGGGGTCTTCCTGCAGATCTCCAGTGTCCTGGACATGGAGGCCGTCACCTTCAAGAAGCTGGTGAAGGGCCACGCCTACTCTTTGACCGGGGCCAAGCAGGTACCAGCCCAGCCGGCGCTTCCCTGCAGGCTGCCTTCTGGCTCTTCCTGGAGTCCTCGCCTCTCTGGGCCTCTCTGGACCGTGACCTGCGCAGTGGCAGGGGTCGGCTCGTCCTTAACTCCCGCAGCGCCTCACCTGTCTCTGTGACACCCCGAGCTGTTTCCCTCGGGCTGCCTGGTCTCCTGAGGGTCATGTGTGCATGCCTCCCTCGGTGGTTCCTTGCAGACAGGCTTCACCTGGCTGTATTTTCCTCATGAGGCGTAGTGAGGGGTGGCGGCAGGAAGGAGTATTTCATTCCTGCCGGAGCAGGGGCTGACGGAAGCTCTGGGCCACAGGTCAACTACCAGGGCCAGATGGTGAGCCTGGTCCGGATGCGGAACCCCTGGGGTGAAGTGGAATGGACAGGAGCCTGGAGTGACGGGTGAGGGCAGTGGCCACTGGCCAGGGAGGCTGCTCAGGGCCACTGGCGTTTCTGCAAGGGACTCTGCCACCCCGGGGCGGGGCAGGGCTGAGCAGAGGGGCTCATCTCTCATTGCTGGTCCAGGGGAGCACACCGACGGAGGGGCTTGGGGGCCGTGCCTGGCCTCTGAGCAGCCGTGGGGTTGCTGAGGCAATCCCTAACGCGTCAGACCACAGGCCTTGACATCAATCCCGTGGCAAGGGAGGACACCCCTGGCAGGGCATGCCCCCAGCCCTGGCAGTCTGCACCCTCCCCCCACAGCTCCATGGAGTGGAACAACGTGGACCCTTATGAGCGGGACCAGCTCCGGGTCAAGATGGAGGACGGAGAGTTCTGGTGAGCAGCTGCCTCCTTCTCCCCTTCCTTGGGCGCCTGCACCCCAGCTCCCCGCCCGCATAAACCTAGCCCAGGGAGTTCCCCTCTGCGCCCTGGGGTACACGACTCGCCTCGCACCCGACCCCAGGATGTCCTTCCGAGACTTCATGCGTGAGTTCACGCGCCTGGAGATCTGCAACCTGACCCCCGACGCGCTCAAGAGCCGGAGCGTCCGCAGCTGGAACACGACGCTCTACGAGGGCACCTGGCGTCGGGGCAGCACGGCGGGGGGCTGCCGCAACTACCCAGGTGACCTGGGCCGCGGGCGCCGCCTGGGGCTGTGTCCTCGCTCTGAGACGTCTCGCTGACCCTCGGGGGCAGCTGCCCTTCCGCCCTGCCCCGGGGCTAACCAGGGGAGCGGCTTCCACCGCTGCCTTCTTGCCCTCCGCGTTCTCAGACCTTCGCTCCGGCCCGTCTCTCCTGGAGCCACTTGGATGACTCCGTCCTTGGTTGTCAGTTTTTGCCGTCCTCAGCCTTGTGGCGTCCAGCTGGCCATTGAGCCTGCCGTCTCTCCCTTTGCCTTCTGTCCTCACCGGGCCAGACGTGCCCCTTCAGCCTCGGCCCTGCCCAGCGCAGGACCCCGCTCCGGGCCGCCACATGCACCGCCCCAGC